AATATTAATAGATGTAACTAGAACAAAATTCAGGATAAAAAAATACTCACTTTACCTATGTAAATAGATTGTTGAATTTACCATTCCTTTCACCTAGAATGGCAAATGGGTTTTTGTTGTTAGACGACACTAATTTTATGTTTAAATTAGTGCTGCAAAGTCAGACTTTTGCCTTTAAATCCCATCCATTATACAGTTAAATTAATGCTTCGTTGGGAGGCTGAAGTTGAGAATTTACTGACCTGTTTGCTTTTACATTTTAATTTTATGTTTTAGATGGATCTCTCTTTCTGGATTTGATAGGTACATAAATAACAAAGATGCATGTGGGTGGTATTAAAAATTTATGTTCAAATTATGGTAAGAAGTCACTTGAAATTTAATTTAATACTGTAAGATAAAGCATTCAGTGGCATCTTACTGTGTTAAATGTCATTTTGCATACACAGAAGAGGCAGATTTTAAGTTTGTGATCATGGCACATTTCTTCTGCATTGATAGTAAAATATGGGCCAAGCTAGGTTTGTCGCATTTTTTACATTATTGAGACATCTAGTCAATACTTAATGTTTCAAGTACACATTCTTCATGCTAGAAACCACTATTAGATGCATGTTGTCGAAAGAAATATTTTAATACGCCATTACTGTGTGGCTGAATTTGGAAAGCATTTATGCTTGGAATGGACACTTGGCATTTATTTGCTACCTTTATATGAAGAAATTTAACTGAAGTTTAGGAATCTGGAAGTAAGGACATACAAATTCCAGTAGCTAGTCACATTAGTGATATATGCAGATGATTGTTTCTGGCAGTGGCCAGTGAAAGCTTCAGAGAAAAAGAAATGAGAAGCTTTGGATGAGCTCTAGAAGAACTTTCCTGTATGTACAGCTGTATCCTACTACTGTCTTTTGCAGTCTGGTCATGCCTTGAGGCAAAAATGTTAGTTTACCATTGCAACAACAGAAAAAAAAAATATCCCTCCTGTTACTGATCACCCTTGATACTCTTGTGGTTCGTGCAGATGTCCTGCTTTTCACTTTGGAATTAACTTATCCTGTGTTCTAGTAAGTTAGATGATAAGCTATGTGTGATTGATTATCTAAAGTGGAAGCTTTTATTCCTCTTAAACTTGTTGCCTTTAAATTTCATTATGAGTTTACAAATAAAAGCAAATAGAAGTTCCCAGTCTTACCATATTAGTTTTGTATGTTGCTGTCATATTTCTCTTGCTAGTGTTTTGTGTAGAGTCCCAGACTTTTCAGAAGTTTTTACAGGCCTCTGATTACTGATAACCTCTTTCTCTGAATACCCACTATTTCTGCTCTATCCTTTTTTTAGATAGGGGGACCAGAACTGAATACAGTTTTTCAGGTGAGGGCAAACCATTTATTAATGTAATGACATTTTATTTCTGGTGTTATTTTCCATCACATTCTTCATACATCCTGATATTTGTTTCCTTTTTGACCACCATTGCAAACCAACTGGTAATACTCCTGTGGGTGGGAGGGAAAATGGTTTTTGTATGTGAATGAAGCACTTAACATTTGGCATGTACACCTGTGTACTAAGGAACGGATTTACAAGGTAGGTGATACAAGCCGCAGAGCAACCACTTGAAAGCAAGACTTACCTGGAATTCATTGACAGAGACTTTTATATGGTTAGTTTGTTGGAAATACTTAATCCTCCCAAAAAGGGATTGGGGAAAGGAACACATTTTTTAAAAAGAAAATCTAAACCACCCGAAGTATTGCTGTCAGACAGGTTTTGGGTTTTTTGTTGGTTTGGTTTTTTTTTTTTCCCCTTACTTGTTCCCCTTTTTTAACTTAGTGGTATTAGAAATAAAAGACTATAATTTCCCATTTTGGTGCAGTGATGTGTTGTGAAATCCAAAGTAAGACAAACTGAATTAAAACTTTATGTACTGTGTTCTTTATTACTTCAAGATAAGTATGTTTCTCATGCTGTAGTTTTGAAGTTTTTCTCCACAGTTTCTTTTTGTTCACCTGATATCTGAATTTTCATGAACTTTCTTTTAATAGGCTGAGAGAGCAAGGAAGAAAAGAAGCAGAAGAAGCTAGTCAGAAAGAAATAGAAGAATGGGAAAAGTCACTTTTAGCTCAAGCAGCACCTACAAGGATGGAGACAATGTGGGAGATCCCAGCTATTGGTCATTTTCTTTGTTTAGCACAACAGATTTTAAATTTACCTGAAATAGTATTCTATGAATTGGAACGTTGTCTTCTGATGCCTCAGTGTAACACTTTTCTATCTAAAATAATGACTTCTTTGTTAAGTCCTCCTCATCGCAGATCTACGTTACATCGCAGGCCTACACTTTCTTACAGGACTTGGGAAGCAGCTCTTAGACAGAAAGTGCAACACTGGTATAATGTTGTAGGGCAGACTGAAAATCCTAATAGCTCTGCAGAAAAACTTGGATTATGCCCACAGTTTTTCAAAGTCCTTGGAGAAGTTAATCCCTTGGAGGAAAAACCATTTCATGAGCTACCATTCTACCAAAAGGTGTGGCTGCTGAAAGGTCTCTGTGATTTTGTGTATGAAACACAAAAGGATGTTCAAGATGCAGTGCTAGGTCAGCCTATCCATGAATGCAGAGAAGTAATTCTTGGTTATGACTACTTGGAGAATGCCTATGTTCATTTTCCCCAGTTCTGTGGTGCAGATGTTCGGATTTACAAACAAAAACCTTTTCGGGCTCCGGAATTCCCATCTTCTCCCATCAAAGTTAAAAAAGTGTCACGTGTTAAACTGGAGAAAGTAAAACATGAATATGTAAACAAAAGCAATGGGGAGGTCAGTTCTGGTGGCAGAGGAGAGCTGCTACATCATTCTAAGATGGGAGTAGAGAAAAGTGTGGACTCTCTTGTTATCTGTCCAGAAAAAAGAACATGTTTAGGTAGCATTAAAGTCACTACAGAGAAGATTAACTGTGAAAGCAAGACCTCAGGAGTTTGTGACATCAAAAAAACTGGTTGCTATAAAGAGAACTTGAGGAATTTGATTAGTTCAGGAGAGATTGTTGGTATGGGTGGTCTCCCTAGTTCAGGAGAAATAAGGGCTGTGGGGAATGGACAAGGCTGTGTTGAAATGGCCAGAGTAAAAGTTGAGACCAGTCCATTCAAGGAGAACACACTGAAGGCTTGCCAGATGCATGTCAATGGTACTCATGATGATAACCAAGACATAAATTACCACGCATGTGCTAAAGAAAAAATGCTAGAGAACTCACACCAAAATAGTGAGAAACTAAGTAAGTTGCGGGCAAAAAAGAAGAAAAAGAAAAAAAAGTTGAAGGATATTCTAAATGAAAATCTACAGAGAAAGCTTGATGACTGGCAAAGAAAGCATGAGATTCATCTTCATCCATTCAAATCTTATAAATCTGAGTTTCAAAACAAGTTGTTTATAATTAAAAAGAAAGCAAAGCACAAGAAGCACAAGTCTGGTAAGTTGAGATTTTTACCTGTAGTAAAAATTAGGAGGATATTGATTTCTTTTTTTTTTCTAATTGTTTTCTTAGTAGATTAGTCTACATTTTAGTTTATGAAACAGCCTTATTGCATTAGACTTCTCTGATACTAATTTTCATATGCAAGTTTTCCATTGAGTAACACAAGCATACAAGCCAGGGTCCTCAGCTGATTAAACTGTGATTCATTTGCAGAATGCATCTTTAGAGAACATAATTAATTGGAAGAGTTTGTTACAAAAAATATTAAGGAGAATGAATCTGATGAGCATCAGAGTCTAGGCTGAAGTTGTTTTATACTGTCTTATATCTATATCAATTGTGGAAATATTTTTCCCCTTACTGATAATATTACTTTATTCAAATTACAAAGAAACAGAATAATTACATGACATGGTTAATCTAAAATCATTCCTATGGGGACTGTGCAAAGTTAGGTCACTAAACGGTACTCCTTAGGCTGCGGGCCTAATCCGTGTCTGCTTAGTCCAACAACTGAGATATACAGATGGAATTTTTATTACAGATGTGGGAAACATCCAGTTAAGTGTTTCAGGTAGGTGATCCAAAATTCAGATTTTGGTTAACTCACTAGGAAAAAAAAAAAAATTAAACCAGAAGAACTACGAAATTTCTAGGTCAGTTGAAATTGTCAGGTGATGGTAGTATCTTTGATGTCACGTGAAGCACCATAAAGCTTGATCAGATATCTGGTTTATATCAGTTAAGCAATGTGCATAGAACAGCATGTGCCATTTTTAATAGTTTATTGTTTTGAAAGACAATCACTGTTGGCAAAACAAACTGGCAATACTTGAAAGTAGCTTTTGAAGTTAGTCGATAGAGTTGATGTTTACTGTGGTAATTGCTTTTCTTGTATGTGTCATAAAAGTAACAGAAGTTAAAAAAAGCTGACCATTTGCCTCCATCTTGGTACTTGATATACTTAATAACATGTTAGCAGAATTTTTTATAGTTTCAAATTATATTTTGTTTTTAAAGATGAAAAGAGACAAATTTTGAAGTTCTGTTAGAAGAACTGTAAATACTGGCATGTAAGTTTAAACTTATTTTTAAAGAAATGTGTCCTGAACAGCTATCACAGAATGATTGTGTTTATGATAAAAATGCATTATATAATCTCAGTGAAAATTCTCATATTTTTAATTTCTATATATTTATCTGTAACATTAAAGACATTTTGGTCTTGAGTAGATCCCAGACTAAATCCTGCACTGTTAGTGGAAATTGTAGTGCTTACTGTAAGATATTTAATCGTAATACCTAAATACAGCAGTTCTTTCAGTTCAAAAGTCCTGTCTTTTAACTGACAAATGGAAATTAAGGTCATTAATAAAACTGGAGTCAAGAGAGAACTGCCCTTCTATCTCTTTCCTTTTGGTACCTTGTGTGTGGTGCATAGATGCTGAAGTGAAAGCATAAAATCACTGGCTTTTCATTGTCTTGGTTACCTTACATATATCTTGACCTTTAGAGTTGTTATGTGATCTCCATTTCTTGCAGTAAGTCTTGTTTGTTTTCTGAAATGCTAAAAAAAGTTTGGGTTTTGTAATATCTTAATGCCAAAGCACATCTCATGTTGATCTAATACAGGCTTGTAACAGGTTATTTATCCAATTATCATCCTTCGTGCTTTATGCTGAGCTTTATTAGAATGTATTTTAGGAACCAAATATGTTTTGGAAGCATATTATAAAGCGAGGAAGAGTTCCACACTACTAAAAACATGGGAGTTAAACAGTTGTTCATTCAGTTTTAATTTCTGGTTTTACATGACTGAATACTAAATACAGCAGCAGAATGCCACGTACCTCTGTTTTTCCAATTCCATGTTGTGTCATAATTTAGTATAGAAAATAATTAGTGTATAGTTTTGTTAAGAATATTTATCCGTAACTGAGGACCAGTGTAGATACCATTAATCATCTGAACTTAGGTTTTAATTATACATGTTTTCATCCTGGGAGAACACTGCAGGCATAATAGACTACTCCAGTGCATTGTCAGTTTCAGATCGGAGGGAAACATGCCAGTACAGGTGGGATGCAGAAAAGAGTTACAAAGTTTTCTGTCCCGCCTTCTGTTGGTGTTCGCAGTTTTGCAGCTCTGACTGCACACAAAGATGCCGTGTGTGTCTGTTCAATGAGGATTTATGAAAATTCCTCTTCTCCACTTTTACTTTTCCTGTGTCTCTAAGTTGTGCTCAGGTGGCATGTTTGTTTCCATTCAGGTGGAAGGCATGAAACATTCCTTTTCATCTGCAGGTGACAGGCATTATCCTGGACATAATATGAAGGGTTCAGTTTCTTGTGGTAGTCTCTTGTCTTTTATCTCTTAATATGTTGAGACTTTTCCCTTCTTATTCTGACCACTTCTTCATTGCAATTTTGACCCCCCTGGAGAAAAATTTCCTGAAACATTATACTATTCCTAGGAAGAGCTTTTCTTCCTATGCTAGTTAAGGGCCCATTAGCCCTGTAGCTGTTAGGCAGAAATGGATAGGATTGGATTGAATTCATGCTGATGCCTTATTGTTTTTTACTGTTTCATAATGTTTAAAGCTAAGAAGCATTTCTCAAAGTTCTTCTGAAATTTTATCTTCTGTTTATCTACCCTTACAATGTAGAACAGAGAAAGAGGTTTGGTAAAACATCTGAATTCACCGAAACACTTGATTAAAATCTGATCATAGCCATAATCACACTTTACAATGTTCTTTGAAAGTACCAGGAATGTTGAAGTGAGTAACTTTCCTTACTTTTTAACAAGGTGATTTCTTTTTCTGCTGTTGGTTCTCTAAGGTAGCTAAAGGTCAGTTTGAGTCACAGTTCATGTTTCTGTTGAAATGATTTGCTACTTGATGTAGCAGTGGTACACAAAAGATACTTTTGATAAATACAGTCTGGTCCTGCAGGTTTTTAGCTGAAAATTTCCAGTAACTGCTGTGAGCAAAGCTTACTGGAGAGCACAGCCATGTTGTGAGTATTGCTGTAGATATGAGATTTTCCTGGCAATCCCAAGCACAAGTACA